TGGGAAGGAGAACAAGGTGACACTCGGGTCAAAACAAGCCTTGTTTCAGTGTGGATTAGAGGTTCTTGCAGGTGGCAAGGGAGGAAAGGCTCATGGTCTGTGCAAAGGTAAAGGTTGCAGAAAGCAGGGAGTTGTTGGAGAGAATGGAGCTCTTTGTCGCAGGTGCCGCCTTTGAGAGCAGGCGTAGGAGGCCCCCCTGGAAAGCACTGACAGCTTGAACCGTCAGCCTGTCTCCTCGGCTGACAAAGGCAGGCACGGCTTGCATCTTAAACAGGCTTCCTGCACTGTCTCTGACTCCCAGGCCAATTGCATCTTCTCGCTCGCGCTCCCCCTCATACTTGCCGTCTTCTGCAGAACAGCATTCCCTAACCCTGTATCCTCCAGAAAAGATGAATGACAACTTCCATCATCCAGAGCATAAACAACGGTGAAAGGCTTCCCCTCTGTCCCAGCTGCCACTGTCCTAGCCGTGGAGGGAGAGAAGGAGAGGCAGACACAGCTCCATCGTGCCTTGGCCTGAAGCAGATGAAAGACCTTCTCTTGGTCCCAACTCACACTGCCCTGGCCTCAGAGGGGGAGAAGGAGCAGGTACAGCCCCAAGAGAAGAAGAGGCTGTACAGCTCCATCATGAGAGCTGATGGTCCTCCATCCATCTCAACTATCACTGCCCTAGCCTTGGAGGATGAGAATTGGTAGGCATCCATCATGGTCAGGCTCAGAAGCAGATGAAAGGTCCTCCATTTATTCCAGCTGCCACTGCCCTATTGTTAGAGGGAGTTGAGAAGATGTGGGTATCCATCAATGCCTTGGCTCAGAAGCAAATGAAAAGTTATCCTTCTATCCCCACTGTCACTGCCCTTACCACAAAGGGAGAGAAGGCCCTTCCATCATCCCAACTGCCACTGCCTTGGCTGCAGAGAGAGAAAAGAAGAGGCAGGCACAGCTCCACGTTCCTTGGCCGGAAGCAGATGAAAGACCTCTTGATCCCAACTCACACTGTACAGCCCCAAGAGAAGAAGTGGCAGTACAGCTCCATCATGCCCAGACACAGAAGGAAATGAAAGGTCCTCTGTCCATCCCAACCATCACTGCCCTAGCCTTAGAGGATGAGGAGAAAAGGTAGGCATCCATCATGGCCAGGCTCAGAAGCAGTTGAAAGGTCCTCCATTCATTCCAGCTGCTACTGCCCTATTGTTGGAGAGAGTTGAGAAGATGTAGGATCTCTCATGTCTTGGTCCAGAAGCAAATGAAAGGTTATCCTTCTATCCCAACTGTCACTTCCCTGACCACAAAGGGAGAGAAGAAGAGACAGCCATCCATTATGCCTTGGCCTAGAAGCAAACAGAAGGCCCTTCTCCCATCCCAACTGCCACTGCCTTGGCTGCAGAGAAAGAAAAGAAGAGGCAGGCACAGCTCCATCGTGCCTTGGCTTGAAACAGATGAAAGACTCTCAATTTATTCCAGTTGCCAATGCCCTGTTGTTGGAGAGAGTTGAGAAGATGCAGGTATCCATCATGCCTTGGTCCAGAAGGCTCTCCTTCTATCCCAACTGTCACTGCCTTGACCATAAAAGGAGAGAAGAAGAGACAGCCATCTGTTATGTCTCTGCCTAGTGGTTCCCAACTCCCAGAAATCCCAGCCACTTTACCAACTGTTAGGATTTCTGGGAGTTGAAGACCAAAAACATCTGGGGACCCCCGGTTGAGAACCACTGGCTTAGAAGCAAACAAAAGGCCCTTCCTGCATCCCAACTGTATCTGTCTTGGCTGCAGAGAGGAAAGAAGAGGCACAGCTTCATCCTACCCAGACCCAGAAATGGATGAAAGGCCGCCCTTCCACTGCCACTGTCCTGGTCTCAGAGGGAAATTAGAAGAGGTGTTACATGCTGGACTTCATCCCCTTCCGCACATCATGGCAATGCTGCCATGTTCTTCCCACTGCTTTTGCTTCTTCCTCCCTCCCATCCATTAACATCCCTTTTCTTTCCCCGTCGTGGTCCCTGTGAATCACACATATGGTGCAGGAAATAACATATGTGCGAATTCACAGATGACCACTCGGGGAACTACGGTTACAGGTAAGCAACCCATATTTCCCCATCGTGGTCCCTATGAATCACATATATAGCATTTCCTGCACCATATGTGCGAATTCACAGGTGACCACTCAGGGAACTACAGTTACAGGTAAGCAACCCATATGTCTTGCTGCCCTCTGCAAACATGTGCTGAACAACAGGTGATAACGGCAGGTGTGGTGTCATAGAAAATGGCTTTAATTGAAAATAAGCATACAGCATTGTCAGGCACTCAGCCTCACTATGGATTTTTGGGGGGGCGGAAGGGATACAGAGTAGGATACAGAAGGCTACGTCCTCGAAATCCCTGTTGTTTCGAAATGTGAAGGCAATCTTCTGTAAGGAAAGAGAGTCTGCTTCCTTTAAGCACTTCTTCTAAGAGGCAGGTCAACGCTGGTTCATTCAAGGTGCCAATTCTTTGGTGTCAGCAGCCTTTAAAGCAGGAAGATTTGAAGGGCAGCGGACAAATCCTTCCCCTTCGAGACCCTTCCAGATCCATGCCTTTTAAAAAGAGAATTTTTTTTCAAGTTGGCATACATCAGGATGGAAAAGGAGGCTGCTGCATGGCTTTAATACCTCTTTAAAACATGGCGTGGAAGTCTAATCATAACAATAAATAATAGCATTGACAATAAATACAAGAGGCCTTTTCCAGGGCAACGTAAAGCAGAAGATAGTTCCCCCAAATGTGGTTTGTGCCTTCAAACAAAGGAGAAATGCATGTGTTTTGCAGACCAAATGATTATTTCCTTTACCAAAACTGTATTAAAAGTTGGATAAAAGTTCACTGTGGACAGAAAGCATAAAGAAGCAAATAAAATAAGTTTTCCAAGGCAGTTATTGTTGGTTGACATGGGCACAGTAGAGCAGCGTTTCTCAATCTCAATCCCACACCTGGAATATTGTGTCCAATTCTGGGCACCACAATTCAAAGGAAGTAGAGAGATATTGACAAGCTGGAATGTGTCCAGAGGAGGGTGACTAAAATGATCAAAGGTCTGGAGAACAAGCCCTATGAGGAGCAGCTTAAAGAGCTGGGCATGTTTAGCCTGAAGAAGAGAAGGAGACATGATAGCCATGTATAAATATGTGAGAGGAAGTCACAGGGAGGAGGGAGCAAGCTTGTTTTCTGCTGTCCTGGAGACTAGGACACGGAACAATGGCTTCAAACTACAAGAGAGGAGATTCCATCTGAACATGAGGAAGAACTTCCTGACTGTGAGAGCCGTTCAGCAGTGGAACTCTCTGCCCCGGAGTGTGATGGAGGCTCCTTCTTTGGAAGCTTTTAAAAAGAGGCTGGATGGCCATCTGTCAGGGGTGATTTGAATGCAATATTCCTGCTTCTTGGCAGGGGGTTGGACTGGATGGCCCATGAGGTCTCTTCCAACTCTTTGATTCTATGATTCTATGAATCTGGGGGTCGGGACCCAGGGGAGAGGGGGTCATGAGGGGGTTTCAGAGGGGTCGCCAAAGATCTTCAGAAAACATATATTTCTGATGATGGTAGGAGCCTCTTTTACAGAGAAGGCTGCAGATCTCTCCACCTGTCCTTCTCTCCCTTTTTGGAAACAGACGGTGAATCCTCCCACCAAAAGCCCCCCTCCACTATGATTGACTGGCCTCTACGCCAAGGGGAGGGCTGTTTCTGAGACTCCAAGTGGGGAGGGGAGAGCAGGTGTGCTTGGCGCATGGCAACATAGCGCACATGTGCAGGTGAGGCTGGAGGGAGGCTTCCACCATAGAGTCCCTTCAAGGCATAGGAGTTCTGAGTGGGAAGTCTGGCCAAATTGTTTCATTGGTGGGGTTCAGAATGCTCTTTGATTGTAGGTGAACTATAAATCCCAGTAACAACAATTCCCAAATGTCAAGATCTATTTTCCCCAAACTCCACCAGTGTACACATTTGGGCTTATCGGGTATTTATGCCAAGTTTGGTCCAGATCCATCATTGTTTGAGTCCACTGTGCTCTCTGGATGTAGATGAACTACAACTCCAAAACTCAAGGTCAGTGCCCACTAAAACCTTCAAGTATTTACTGTTGGTCATGGGAGTTTTGTGTGCCAAGTTTGGTTCAGTTCCATCATTGGTGGAGTTCAGAATGCTCTTTGATTGTAGATAGAATAGAATCATAGAGTTGGAAGAGACCTCGTGGGCCATCCATTCCAACCACCTGCCAAGAAGCAGGAAAATCACATTCAAAGCACCCCCAACAGATGACCATCCAGCCTCTGTTTAAAAGCCTCCATAGAAGGAGCCTCCACCACTCTTCGGGGCAGAGAGTTCCACTGCTGAACAGCTCTCACAGTTGGGAAGTTCTTCCTCATGTTCAGGTGGAATCCTCTTTCCTGTAGTTTGAAGCCATTGCTCCACGCCCTAGTCTCCAGGGCAGCAGAAAACAAATTTGCTTTCTCCTCCTTTTGACTTCCCTTTACATATTTATACATGGCTATCATGTCCCCTCTCAGTCTTCTCTTCTGCAGGCTCTGCAGATGAACTATAAATCTCCGCAACTACAACTCCCAAATGACAAAATCAATCCCCGCCCCCAACCCCGTCAGTATTCAAATTTGGGTATATTTGTGCCAAATTCGGTCTAGTTAATGAAAATACATCCTGCATATCAGATATTTACATTACAATTCATAACTAGCAAAATGACAGTTATGAAGTAGCAACGAAAATAATGTTATGGTTGGGGGTCACCACAACATGAGGAACTGTATTAAGGGGTCACAGCATTCGGAAGAAACACTGCCGTAGAGGATGCTCCAATGCCCCTTTAAAAGGAGGTATGCAAAGCAAGAAAGAAAAAATGGAATGCAAAAAGTATAAGATGAAATTGCTTTGCCCATTTAAGATGAAATATTCGATCCAATGCAAAGCATTTCTATTTTGTCGGATTCCGTAAAGATCTGTCCAAAAAGGTGAATCACACAAATGCGGGGGAAAGAAAAATGTCTTCTCGCACAAGCACATGACATTTCCCATCACTCTCCAAATAGTGGTGGATTGAAAATTAAATGGCGTTCCTTGAATATTAAAAAAAATACTAAGATCATAGCTCAAGAGCACGACAAGGAACGGCTTTGAGAAAAAGTCTAGACCATTGGCTCACAACCGGTACAGTGGACAAACACGTCATTTGAGCTCCAGTGCCCCCAAAGAAAAAGAAAGAAATCTCCCCAAAGAGAGCAAGGGCACCTGAGTGTGACAGACAAGAAGGAAACACAAATTAAGAACAAAGTCCTGAGTCTCTCGAGCGAAGCATTTCGTCTGGGTCGGGTACCTTTCTGATGCCCTCAAAGATGACGCTTGAAATTACAACGGAGAAGGAAAAGAATATCTCATACTGGTGCCAAGAAAATACACACATATAAGTATATATGGAAAGGAACGAGAGGCACCTTGAGTCTGGAGAACATGTTGTTGTTTCTAACTTTTCTTTAGAAGCATTCAAATCAAACTGGATTCATGTTGTAAAAGGTCCTCCTCACCACCCAATGTGGTGAAGAGGGCAAAAGCTTGTCCAACCATGACAGGAGAGCTGGACCCAAGAGGAACCTGGCAGTCTTGCGATGCTCAAGAACAGTTCCTTGTTGAGTTTTGTTATGGCCACGATCCTGACCCGAGGTTCGGGGAAAGTATATGACGCAACGCTTTCTCGATTCTTCCAGAAGGAGGAGATGCCCCAGAACTCATAGCACGGAAAGGTCGTTGCAGGATTTGGACCTCTGCTTGAAGAAGCGTCCGTTGCGCGGCACCAGGCTGGAGAGGAAGCGTTTGGCTTTCTTGGTGAGGCTCTCGCGGCGGCCCCCAGCTCCCTCCTTGGCGAGGCCCTCGGCCGCCTCACGCCGGTGGTGGCGCAACCGGATTTGGCGCACGACGCCCTCAAAGAGCTCCTCCGTGTTGTGGTGCAATGCGGCTGAGGTTTCGATGTGCTTGCAGTTCATCATGACCGCCAGGCTGCGACCCTCTGGGTATGGAGGAAAGAAAGAGAGGTGGCATTGGAGTAAGAGAGAGTCTTAAGTACAGGAAACTACAATTAGTAGATTTTTTGGCCACTGTGAAATCATGGAAATGACCAGATGCCATTGAAAAACATGACTTCTGGTCCTGGCATATCATACAGTCATATCAGAAGACCTACAAAACACGTGTCAAACTCAGGGCTCACATGCTGAATCCAACCAACCATGTCATTTTATATGGACCTCCTGATGCTGGACTACAACCCTTGTATTCCCCATCATTAGACATCCTTCTAGATCAGTGGTTCTCAACCTGTGGGTCCCCAGGTGTTTTGGTCTACAACTCCCAGAAATCCTAGCCAGTTTACCAGTTGTTAGGCTTTCTGGGAGTTGAAGGCCAAAACATCTGGGGACCCACGGGTTCTAGATCATCTGATAGGAATTGTGATGCAGGAACATCTGGAAGGCTGCAGTTTGTTCTGTTTAGTCAGAAGAGTGGGGTTTGGATTTAAATACGAGGCTTGCGGATATGATGCCTGACTTAAAAATGTTCTTTAACCTTTCCCCAACCTCAGAGTCACACACAAGTGCGGTTGGGCTGCAATTCTCATTATCCTCATAGAGAACAATCAAAAGTGATGGGAGTTGTCGTTTGATAACATCTGGGGACCCAAACTGGGTAAAAACCATGTGAAAAAAATAATATTTGGCCTTCTGTATCCAGGGATTCTTTCTCCATGGATTCAATGGCACTTTGAAAGCAACCATGAGGCAACATCACGCATGAATGCACAACTAAATCACTCCTCTTAGAGATTACCATCCAACCACCAGAGAAGGAGAATCCAATCCAATATCAGAGAGATCTTACAGTCAAGAAGAGGGAACAGGAATAGATTTGAATCACTGGTCAGTTGTGAAAACCCACTTGGCGGCCTTGGGCAAGTCCCATTCCTTCAACTTCAGAGGAAGGCAATGGACACTAAGCGATCCCAGTGATAGGGCTTCTGTAGGGTTGGAAATGACTTGAAGGCACACAACAACAAAAACAACAACAACAAGGCCGTCAGCACACAATAACAACAACAAAGCGGGCAACTCACTCTCATGCGAGACTTCTCAAGACCGGGCCAAGTTGCTCTTGTAGGGTTGGCTATGACTGAAGGCACACAACAACAACAACAACAACAACAACAACAACAAGAAGGCAACTCACTCTCACGCGGGACTTCTTGAGATCAGGCCAAGTTGCTTTTTTGGGGTTGGCAATGACTTGAAGGCACACAACAACAACAACAACAACAACAACAACAACAAGGCAGGCAACTCACCCTCATAACAACAACAACAACACAACAAGAAGAAGAAGACTGGCAACTCACCCTCTCACGAGACTTCTCAAGACTGGGCCAAGTTGCTCTTGTAGGGTTGGCAATGACTTGAAGGCACACAACCACAACAACAACAACAACAACAACAACAAGGTGGGCAACTCACCTTCTCGTGAGACTTCTCGAGACCGGGCCAAGTCACTCTTGTTCCCCACCAGGATGATGGGAGGGTCGGTCCTTGGGCACCCCGCTCTCAGGCGCAAGAGGATGGGCGGCACCCGGGTGAAGCTCCGCCGATCTGTCACCGAGAAAACCATCAAGAAGGCATCTCCCGTTTGCAAGCAGGACTCCTGCATCCATCCTCCAGGATCTGCCTGTAAAAAGGGTCAAAGACAGGCAATGTGCATGCTATCCACAACCATCCTTCAGTCTGACGTAGTACATTCAGCCATCTATTTTTTCAGATTTCATTATTCATGGATTTGATCACTATGTTCTCCTCAGGAATCTCTTGGCCCTTCAGCTCAACTCGAAGGTCAACCTCTGATGGAAGTTGACCATCAAGTCATACTGGAGGACAGATTCCAAGAGAGAACACTTCTCTAGGAATTTGCAGATCCCCCAGTTTTCAAAGTGCTTGGTATCCGCTAGGATTTGGTTTCAGGATCACAAATAGCTACCACAATTCATAATCTGCATAATGCATGCACGGGAAAACTTTGGCCCTCCCTTCAGTTGTTTCAGACTCCAACTCCCACAATAACTAACAGCCGTTAGGAATTGTGGAGTTGAACTCCAAAACACCTGGAGGGAGGGCCAAAGCTTGCCCATGTCTGGTATAATAGGTACTCAAGTCCACTTATAGAGAATAGCATAGTAAAATGGTGTCCCTTATATAAAATGGCAAAATCAGCATTTCTTGGCTTGTAAAAAGAAATATTGTGTGGATGGTTAAATCCATGGATGCAGGATCCGTGGATACGGAGGGTCGACTACAAATAATGGAAATGTTACTATTTGCTTTCGTAGGATTCCCTAGAAGTTGATCTGCATATATTTATATACTAACGCTATGCTGCCATCTGGGAAATGCTGTCGGTTTGCATATCAATTTGCATATTTGCATACCAGCTCCATGATGTTCAACTAGAGGCACAGTTTCATGAAGACCTGCATATCTTTACCCATTACAGTAATGGCATTGAATTTGGGAACACGTTGCTCCATACAATTCTATGTTGGATTAAGATGGCAATGATATAGAACAATGATAATAATGATTATTTATTTGTTTATTATTTAAAATCATTTCATACAGGTGCTTGGTTTTGCATGAATGCAATCACTGTGTACATTCTCTGAAAAAGGGTGTAAAGTATGATAACAGGATGCCGTTTTTAAAATAAGTGATACTATCTGATACTATCCATGATGTATAGCTTCATCAGCACTCTGAAAGACTGATTATTACATAGGACTCTTTCATCAGACTATACAATTCTAGTATAGTAGTGAACCGCCGTGAGTCGCCTTCGGGCTTGAGATACAGCGGTATATAAGCAAAGTAAATAAATAAATAAGTAAATAAATTAACTGCTATGACAGCATCTTATGGAACACTGGGATCTTTATGCTGTCGAAAGCTTTCATGGCTGGAACCACTGGGTGTTGTGATTTATCCGGGCTGTATGGTCATGTTTCAGAAGCATTCTCTCCTGACGTTTCACCCACATCTATGGCAGGCATCCTCAGAGGTTGGGAGGTCTGTTGGAAACTAGGAAAATGAGGTTTATATATCTGTGGTATAATGTCCAGGGTAGAATTTCCAGGAAGCAGCCAGGCCTTGAAGCTGCAAGGCTAAAGGTAAAGGTTTCCCCTTGACATTAAGTCAAGTTGTGTCTGGGGGTTGGTGCTCATCTCCATTTCTAAGCTGAAGAGCCGCCATTGTCCGTAGATGCCTCCAAGATCATGTGGCCAGCATGACTGCATGGCACAGAGTTACCTTCCTGCAGAAGCGGTACCTATTGATCTACTCACATTTGCATGTTTTGAAACTGCTAGGTTGGCAGAAGCTGGGGCTAACAGCGGGAGCTCATCCCACTCCCCATACTCAAACCGCCAACCTTTCAGTCAGCAAGTTCAGCAGCTTAGTGGTTTAACCTGCGGTGCCATCAGGGGCTGCATAGTAAGGCTATTAAATTCTAATCAAGTTGGCCAATTGCAACATTCCCACTTGCCTCCAACAGACAAGAGTTCTTTCTCCCATCCTGGACATCCCACAGATAGATAAAACCCACTTGCCTAGTTTTCAACAGACCTCACAACCTCTGAGGATGCCTGCCATAAATGTGGGCGAAACATCAGGAGGGAATGCTTCTGGAACATGGCCATTACAGCGCAGAAAACTCTCAGCAACCCACTGGGATCTTTAGTTTGATGAGGCTCTGGCGGTCTCTTGGTGCAAGTACTCTATAGAATGAATGCAATTTGATACCAATTTGACTGCCATGACTCAAAGCTATGGATTCATGAGAGTCAATACTGTAAAGGATTTGAAATTCCAAAAAATTCTAAAATTCAAGAAAAGGTGGCTGAGATCATTACATTTTTGCTTTTGGGTGGTTCAATGCATCCAAACTTTGTCTCAAGCACAAAATTATTACAAATATTGCATATATATATAGGTTTTGGGTCTTGTCTCCAAGACTATGTACATCAGGCATGAACAAACTTTGGCCCTCCAGGTGTTTTGGACTTCAACTCCCACAATTCCTAACAGCTTAAGCGGCTGAGGGGGGAAAGGAAAGGACCTGAGGTTGTTAGGAATTGTGGGAGTTGAAGTCCAAAACACCTGGAGGGCCAATGTTTGCCCATGCCTGATGTATATAGATGCAAATACGGGTATTCTAAATATTTAAAAATCCAAAACATGTCTGATCTCCAGCATTTCAGATAAGGGATACTCAACCTGTATCACTCCAATGGAGCAAAAAAAAAAGGTAAAGCAAATGCACTCACCTGGTCCCAGATATCGTATAAAATCAGGATGACTTCTTCATCATCTACACAAAATCTTCGTTCATAAGAATCCTCTGATAGACAAAAGAGGACATTTGTTTCAGAACAATGACATTATTGATTATATCCTCTTCCTGACAGACATTTTTAAAAGCAAAGGATTTCTCCTAAGGTGCATCTACACTACAGAATGAATGCAGTTTAACACCACTTGAACTGCCATGACTCAATGCTATGGAGTCCTAGGAGTCGTAGTTTGGTGGAGCATCAGTACTTTTTGGTAGTGGAAGACTTTGTAAGATTGCAACTTCCATGATTCCAGAGCATTGAGCCATGGCAGGTATAAAGTGGTGTCAAACTGCATTAATTCTGCGGTGGAGATGCACCCTAAGTCACCCTCCAGGTTGGAAATGTGGCAATAAAAATATTTTTATTTATTTTTATTTACAGTATTTGTATACCGTTTTTCTCACCCCTATATACTCAAAGTGGATATAAAGGCAATATAACTATATTTAACTCAATTGGTTCTTGGTATCTATCTATCCACTGGGATTTGGTATCAGAACTTCCACGGATATCAAAATACATCAATGTCGAATTTCCTTATGCAAAATCCAAAAGACTCTAAAACTGTCCATGCAAGCCATTGAAAGAGCGTGCACAAACTTTGTATCATGCACAAAGTTATGAAAAATTCTGTGTACAAAATTGCCTAAGTGTATAAGGTGTATATGAAACATTAGCAAATGTCCTGTTTAGACTTGGATCTCATCTCCAAGATATCTTATGATGTACAGGCATTCCAAAATATGACAAATCCAAAACGTTTCCGGTCACAAGCGTTTCGAACAAGGGATACTCAACCTGTATATACAATAACAACAACAACAACAACAACAACAACAACAACAGCTGTTAGGAGTGGTAGGAGTTGAAGTCCAAAACATCTGGAGGGTCAAAGTTGGCCCATGTCTGGTTTAGATGCACCTTAAGTCTCCTTAGTTTCTACCTTGACTCACCTGTGCTCTCCTCCTCGTGATGAACGCTACCTTTCAGGCCTCCGAAGATGGCAGCCAAGGCCGTCTTGCCAACGCCGCTCTCGCCAAGCAGCATGACTTTGTATGGTCCTCTCCCTCCGGCCGGACTGACCCCTGCACGGCTGCCCACCTCTGGGGAGCTTGGCGGAGAGTCCAGTTCATCCACAGCCGAGGCTCTCACCAACTGGTGCTTAATGGGCAAGGGCATGCTGCCACGCCGCGGACCGGCACCCGGGAGCGTTGGGAGCAACGCCATGGTGGACCAGGGAGCTGTTGAGATCAATGCAACAAATAAAGGTGGTGCACATAAGAGAAGTGTTTCATCTGTGTCATGAAAATAGCATTTGTGTGAACACTAGTTTCCAGATCCAGTTTGAAATAGTGGCGTTAACAGTTGAACTCATTCATGGCTTGGAATCCAGGAAACTTAAGAGCACTATATCCCAGGATCTGATCCCAGGTTTTCTTCTTTCAACTGGATTATATGAGTCCACACTGCCAGGTAATCTGAGATAAACTGAAAACCTGGGATCAGATCCTGGGATATATACAGGGCCTGTCTGGAAGGGCCCTAAAGGAGTGGCTACCCATGGCCATAGTGGATGTTCTAGATTTGATGGTGCAAATTCATTCTTAGGATGTACCTTGACCATAGAATTAATGCAGCATGAGCTCACTTTCATTGCCATGTCTCAATGCTATGCATGGCATCTTGGGAATTATAGTTTGTTGAGGCACCAGCGCTCTTTAGGAAAGAAGACAAAATCTTGTAAAAGTACAACTCCCTGGATTCCATAGCATTAAAGTGGTGCCAAACTGTATTTATTCTACAGTGTAGATGCGCCCCTATCCACTACCAAAAGTTGACTGTCTAGGTCAGGCATGGGCAAACCCAGACCCAGGGGTCAGATGTGGCACCTTGGGCTTTTTTCTCGGTCCTTCATTTCTCTCACCATCGTATCCTTCCTTCAATCTCTCTTTCCTTCCCTCCCTCCCTCTCTTACCTCTCTCATTCTCCCTCCATCCTTCCTTCCTTTCCACCCTTTTGTCCTTCCTTCCCTCTTTCATCCCTCTCTCCTTCTTTCTCCTTCCTTCCTTCCTTCCTTCCTTCCTTCCTTCCTTCCTTCCTTCCTTCCTTCCTTCCTTCCTTCCTTCCTTTTTTGTCTTTACTTCCTTCTCTCTTTCATCCCTCCCTCCTTCTCTTCCATCTTTTCTTACTTCTCTTTCTCCTTCCTCCTTTCCTCCTGGGTGACATTTATCTGGGAGAAGAGATGGTTGAGAGGGAACACAAGTACCATGTTTCAAGATTTACAAGGGTGTCCCATTGTGCTGGTACGGCGGTACCAGGAGCTTCAGCTTCATTTTCTTCCTATTGAGTGTTTGTATATATTCCAAGGTTCCATGCATTTTGCAGTAAGGTGGCTTCCCTTGGTTTGCCATTATAGGGCCAATGACCTGTCTATCATTGTTAAGTTTTGGTTCCGCCCCTTTTTCCAGGGCTCTGGGAGAGAAAGGGAACCATTTTTAGTTCAGTCTTATAGTGGAAAGCTTAGCTACACGACATGGATCAGCTCCATCTGTAGGCAAGCTTCGTTTCTCACAGCATCCAGGGGAAACAGCTCCACATCTTTCGTGGAAAAGATCCAAAAGAACTCCAGCTGGAGAATCTACAAAGCCTTGGCTGGTAGGTCTACTCGGGTAACCAGAAGCAATTGGAGCCGGGAGTAGAGCCCACACCAGCAAGCATAGAAAGTAGATTGCCTGGGAGGGGTTAAAAAGAGTTTTCCTCTTAAAGCAGTATTTCTCAACCTGGGGGTCAGGAAGCCAGTTAACTGTCCATTTTGGCAACTTAAGAAGCATTTGTTTAAATTGTCGAAGATCTAAGCAATAATAAAGGACTTTGTTAAACCTTTCAAGCTTCTAAAGACTCTGTATAGGAAAATCCTTAGGGCCTCTCACTCGAGGCACCCCGGCTTCCCGCTGGGCACAAAGTGCACGTCCTGTTCAAAAGCCAACTGCTATAGGCCCAGCACCTGACAGTACACCCATTGAGGAGGAGGAAGGGGAAAACTGACTTTCTGCTGCTCTAGCGACCAGAGCACAAGTGAGCAATGGGTTCAAATGGCAGGAAAAGAGATTCAACTGAAAAGATTAGAGAGAACTTCCTGGAGAGTAGCCTAGGCTGGAGTGTGGTGGAGTCTCCTTCTCTGGAGGCTTTTCCACAGAGGCTGTCTATTGGGAGTGGTTTGATTGTGCCTTCTTGCAAGGCATAGGGTTGGACTGAATGGCCCTTGGAGGACTCTTCCAGCTCTAGGATTCTATATCAGGAGTGGGCAATATGGGGTCTAATGGATACACTTTTTCTCTCCTGTCCACCATCTCATCCTGACCAAGGCCAACCCTTTTGGGATGCAAATGTTTCCTGTCATTCCTTCACTTTCTGTCTCCAAAATAGAAGAAGATGGAGAAGAAAGGGCAGGGAGGGGGCTTGGGGAGAACCCCCTCCCTCTTGGCCTGCTCCGGCCTGTCATGCGGCCCCCCAGTTAGAAAGTTTGCCTAAAAGTTGACTATCTAGGTTCAAGGCTGAATCCAGGAATACACCATTAATATGAACCAGAGAATGTGACGGCGTGAGTGGCGCCACCTGTATATAGAACTTTAAAGTGCAAAGGTTTAAACTGTATAACATGCGCATACTTGCTTATTTTGTAAATGTATAGTTGGATTGATTGGTTATTTATAGCTGTCAATCAATGTTGTTTGCACCAGTTATATTGCTTCCTCAGCTCACTTGCTTGGCTCCACCTCTTCCTGGAGGAGGGCAGAGCTTTCCCTTTTCCATTCTACCATCAAACTTTCTATCAGATAGACGTGAGAAAGAGACTTGGCTCTAAAGCCCTTAATTAAGTTACCTCTCATCACCAATTCTAAGGTTTTTACCCATGGGACTCATACTTCATGCCCAGATCCCCCTGGACAACGTTGAGGAGACCCAAGCGCCCTCAAAACGGTCCTTTGGCACCAAAAGGAAGCCTCTGTGCCTTTAACATAGGCCATTGGACTGGGGGTTGTGTTTGTTTTGACTTTCACAGCCATTGAGGAAAGAGGGAACAGGGAAGGCTTCTCAGCTGCAAAATCTCCTTGGACCCAAGACAACCAGAGACTGTAATGTATATTTCCTTTACCCCTTTGAAACTTCCAGCTTATTGCTTTAAAGGGATAACTCTTTGTGAACAATAAAAACCTATTTTGAGTTATCTACAGTGTTTTGGTCCTTGGGAGTTCCAGTTTCCTAAAGGAGGGCAAGAAGCAATCCCCTGAGGGAAAGATGTCACGTCTATGTCTCTTTCACTAAGAATTATAGCCCCCAGGTGTGACAGCATAGAGAAAGCATATTCCCATCCAATACAGATTAAATCCCTGTTTTCCCCGATCTGTTTTGTGACTGCGCAGGAGCACCTCAGTCTTGTTTGGACTACACTTCAATTTGCTTATCCTCATCCAGTTCATTACTCTTGACACAGTAATACACACACACACAGAGAAAAATACATACACACAGAGGAACACACACAAAAATCTGTATACACTTCTCACACACTTTTTCTCTCTTTTTCTTCTTCCACTTCTCTTGCGCTCCTAATACATTAATCCCTCCGACTGCATAGCACAATCCAAAGACAGATGGACAATTCCTTCTCTCGTCCCAAATTGCCTTGTTTCTTCTGTGCCAAACCAATTATTCTGTGGGAAAGTCCCAGCAGATTTGTCCAGCTGGTTTGCAAGAGCCAGAATTAATCTCTAACCCCGACGCCTGCCCTTGTAGAGCATTTTTCGGAGAACGTGTTGTTGAAGGCTTTCATGGCCGGAATCACTGGGTTGTTGTGGGTTTTCTGGGCTGTATGGCCATGTTCCAGAAGCATTTTCTCCTGACGTTTCGCCCACATCTATGGCAGGCATCCTCAGAGGTTGTGAGGTCTGTTGGAAACTAGGAAAGTGGGTTTTATCTGTGGGATGTCCAGGATGGGAGAAAGAACTCTTGTCTGTTGGAGGCAAGTGGGAATGTTGCAATTGGCCACATTGAATAGAATTTAATAGCCTTGCTATGCAGCCCCTGGTGGCACCGCAGGTTAAACTGCTGAGCTGCTGAACTTGCTGACCGAAAGGTTGGCAGTTTGAGTATGGGGAGCGGGATGAGCTCCCACTGTTAGCCCCATAGAATCATAGAATCAAAGAGTTGGAAGAGACCTCATGGGCCATACAGTCCAACCCCCTGCCAAGAAGCAGGAATATTGCATTCAAATCACCCCGACAGATGGCCACCCAGCCTCTGTTTAAAAGCTTCCAAAAATGGAGCCTCCACCACACTCCGGGGCAGAGAGTTCCACTGCTGAACGGCCCTCACAGTCAGGAAGTTCTTCCTCATGTTCAGCTTCTGCCAACCTAGCAGTCTGAAAACATGTAAATGTGAGTAGATCAATAGGTAGAGCTTCTGCGGGAAGGTAACGCCGTGCCATGCAGTCATGCTGGCCACATGAACTTGGAGGCATGTACGGTTAATGCCGGCTCTTCAGCGTGAATGTTGCAGTTGGCCACCTAAAACCTCCCAACAAAGGATCCCCCCAAGCAACAACCAGCCAGGCTTTGAAGCTGCAAGGACATTCAATGCTAATCAAGGTGGCCAATTCCAACATTCATACTTACCTCAAATAGACAAGAGTCCTTTCTCCTACCTTGCAGCTTCAAAGCCTGGCTGCTCTCTGCTTGGAGGAATCCTTTGTTGGGGGGTGTTAGCTTGCTCTGATACTAAAAGGGGATTTAGTAGGAGCCAGTGTCAAAGGGTGCATCTTACATTGTAGAAATAGCTCACTTTGACACCACTTTAAATGCCTTAATTCAATGCCAGGCCATTAAATGCTAATCAAGGTGGCCAATTGCAACATTCACATTTACCTCCAACAGACAAGAGTTCTTTCTCCCACCCTGGACATTACTCCACAGATATATTAACCTCACTTGCCTAGTTTCCAACAGACCTCACAACCTGTGAGGATGCCTGCTATAGATGCAGGTGAAGCGTCAGGAGAGAATGCTTCTGGAACATAGCCATACAGCATGGAAAACTCACAACAACCTATTTCTCGGAGATGTCACTTGGCTTGCTTTCCTGAGCGACCTGGGAGTGCTTCCAGGATGCAAAGCAAGATGCCTCGTCCCCTATTAGTACTTCCGAATGGACATCTTTTATTGGGGTTTGGATGTATTTTATT